TGGTGACCTTGAGGAAGTTATTTAATTTCTGTAAGCCTATTTATTTCCCAACTGGAAAATAGACCTATCTATTATTATTGTTTATGTGATGTAAGGGTTAAATCTGCTAACACCATAAAGCACTTAAGCTAGAGCCTAGCACAGAGTGATGCTCAAGGAATGTCTAGGTATCCTCATTGAGAGAAAATAGAGGTTCCTTGAACCTAAGGTGGCCTTTCCAAAGCTGTTGAGCGGTGAGCCCCAGTGCTGAGACTTGAATATCAGTCTGTGCTCTTTCTACTACACTACTGGCTCATCTGGAAATAATACCTACTGACTGTCCTCTGCAGCCAGGAGATCTTACCATAATATCAAAGAATATAAAGGGCTAAACACCCTTTCTAGAGTGTTTCCATATAAAGTGTCTCACTTGCTACTCCACAGAGCTATGATACAGGGAGGAGGAAAGCATAGGCTATGGACCTAGTTCAGGTCTCAGATTATAATTTTGCTTTCATTTTTTTTTCTTTTTTCTTTTTTTTTTTACTTTATTACTTCAAAGTTCATTAATAATTTTGCTTTTAGATTATTCAACATGGCAGCAGATGTGTGATCATTATTTTTAAAAGGGCAAAATTATTAAGTGTTTACCCTTTGGCCTTCAATAGCAACCAAATTCCATTGGTATAATCTAGTTTTTTTTTTTTTTTAATGTTCTTAAGTAACTTAAGCTTCTACTTTTCCAGTTAAATAATTACCCCCTGGTAATTACCATTTTCTGATACTAGTCCTAGACTATTAGCTTCTTATGTCAACTTCAGCAATCCTAGAGTCTTGTGGATTTTCTCTACCAAAGAGGAAAAGGAAACTGCCTTCCCAGTCAGACTAACTACCACCGTTCAACTTCGAATGGAGAGAACCTGCCTCATTTTCCTGTGAAACAGAGCTTAGATCACAGAAGATAGCCCTTAGTATAGTAAATGAGCTCCTAGAGACCCTTGGGAACATTAATTACAATAGATTAATAATTTACCTTTAATAGTTTTCAACAAATATTTATTGAGAGAATTCGTATCAAAATACTATAAATCCTTGCTTCTGGTTAATTCTATCTACAGCATGTTTAACAAATAGGTGCAGTTTTAATAACTTCAGGAATAGGAAGCATATTATTCAGCTGCCGTCCACTGAGTCTAGGATGCAAAGATGAAGGGATTCTGCCCTCAGAGCACACCTGGACAAGTGGGCGATACAGGCAAGGAGGAGGAGAGATATACAGTACAGAGGGTATCAGCGTAACAGGTGCTTAAAAGGTTACAGGTAGGAGACACAGAAGTGGGTCAAGCCTTCACGGGGATGAGGCTGTCACCAGGGGTCAGAGAAAGCTTTCAGAGAATGGTAACTTGTATTGAAAAGCTGCAGTCCCCAACCTTTTCGGTACGAGGGTCCGGTTTCATGGAAGATAATTTTTCCACGGATGTGGGGAAGGGGGCAGAGGGGGGCTGGGGTGCGTGGGCCTCAAGCAGTGATGATGTGATGGGGAGCTGGGGAGCGGCTATAAATGCAGAGCAGCTTCGCTCACTCCCTGCCACTCACCTCCTGCTGTGAGCTCCTCCTGCCCCCAAGTTTCATGGAAGGCAATTTTTCCACGGATGGATGTAGAGGGGTGGGGTGGTGGGGGCGGCAGAGGTCTGTGGGCTGGGGGCTTGGGGACCACAGTTGTAAAGGACAGGCTTTGAAAAACCAAACCTGATACAACCTGGTTTTTTTTTTTTTGTTTCTTTTTGAGACGAGAGTCTCACTGTGCTGCCCAGGCTAGAGTGCTGTGGTGTCAGCCTAGCTCACAGCAACCTCAAACTCCTGGGCTCAGGTAATCCTTCTGCTTCAGCCTCCCAAGTAGCTGAGACTACAAGCATGTGCCACCATGCCCAGCAAATTTTTTCTATTTTTTAGTAGAGACAGGGTCTCGTTCTTGCTCAGGCTGGTCTTGAGCTCCTGAGCTCAAACAATCTGCCCGCCTCAGCCTCCCAGAGTGCTAAGATTACAGGCATGAGCCACCGTGCCCGGCCGGTAAAACCTGCATTTTTGAAACTGTTTTATTTAATAGAAATGCCCTTTTCTAACTTCTATTCATTTACTTTGCATCCATGGGGGACCGCTCTGGCCTAGGTCCTGGGACTGCAGCAGTGAACTGGGCACATCTTTGCTCACTGTCTGAGGGTAAGACCCACACTAAGGAAGGAAGAGCAAGGGTGAAGAACTGTGTGATAGAGAAAGAACAGTGTCTGTAGCAGACCTGGCCCAGCCCTGGGGAGAGACATTAGCAGGCAGCTGAGCACCTGCTGTTTACCTGGTTGGTGTGTTCTGTCCCTCTTGGAAAATAGGAATTATTCTCACAGTTATTCCGAATCCCCTGGGTGCCTAGGCTGGGGCCAGGGCATGTGGTCATCAGCTCCAAACCCACTGCCTGACTGCTTGGGTTCCAATCTTTCAGGCTTGGGAAGGCACTTCTGAATCTTCACCATTCTAAAGATAAATGATCAGTAGAAATGCCAGGGAGAGTTCTGATTAAACTCTCCCAGATAGGAGTGTTTACTGAGTGTTCATTAAAGTCTCATCTGGTTAAGGAGGACATGAAACTAGACATCCTGAGATCACTCAATTTCAATTTCACACTGAGAAAGTTCTGTTTTTATACCCCTAAGTCTAGCCAGCTGCCTTACAAATGCCCATCATTGGTCATGACAGGACAATTATTCACTGTGAAATTTTTACAGAAGGTGGGTAATTTTCACAGATGTCCAGGATAGTATATTACAGACTCTTCAATTTACCAACTTCCACCTTACAAAATCAGACAGATATAACTAAAGCCCTTACTTTAGCCAGAGTAAAAGCAGGTTAATTCTGCCCACCGACAGATGGCATTAGCAGTAGTTTAAAGACTGTGGGCCCTTCAGTTCCTGATACAGTTGTATACTTAATAAATGCCTGTGAAATTCACTGAAAATAAAATCTGGGAGGCCAAGGTGGGAGGATCGCTTGAGCCCAGGAGTTCTAGCCTGGGTGACAGAGAGAGACCTGTCTCAAAAAAAGGGGTTGGGGGAAGGAAGGAAGGGAGGAAGAGAGGGAGGGAGGGAGGAAAAGAAAACAAAGTCTGCTTTCCAAACCCCCAGAAATAAAGATACAGCATCAGAGCTGGACAGGATCTTAGAGGTCATCTAATGTAGGCTTTGCCAGCCCATAGATGCTAAAGCTTCATCTGGTGTCTTTAACCAAGATAGATCTTTTATACTTTTTTCAACCACTTTCATTTTCCTGGCACCCCATCAAGAAAGGTACCTCTGTTGACATTCCCACCCCACATCCCTCTCTTACTGTTCCCCACATTCATGTAGTGGCTTCAATATCAGCACCCTGCCCTGGGTTGGGACTTTACAGTTGCAGAGCAATAAAAAAGTAGCAGAATAATGAGAGAATGTTCTGGTAATTTTAATATTCTATATGTTGATAAAGGTGTGGAACATACAGGCTATGTATTTATCAAAACTCTGGAATGGTATACGAAAGATTTGTGAATACCATTGTGCAAATTTTATCCCCATAGTTCAATATATTGAATCCTAATAATGATATGCATACTGAAGTATTTAGAGATGAAGTATATTGATGTGCATGAACGTATCACATGGATTGATGCATGGACAGAGAGAGAGAGAGAGAGAGATCTTTATGTGAGGAAGGCAAATATGGTAAAATGTTAATTGCAGAATCTAAGTGGTTACATGGATGTTTACTGTAAAATTCTTTTAATTTTTCTGAAAGTTTTTCATAGTAAATCTAAATAATTCATAACTTAATAATATATAAACTAATAATAAAATAAATAATCAGTTAATAAATACATTGCTTAACTAGTAACTAATAGGACATTTAAAAAATTTTCATAGTAAAATGTTCAGATGGGAAAAAGTGCCAGAATGGTTCTTCCTGGGCCAACTCAGTCATTTTACAGATGAGAAAACTAATGCTCAGAGAGCGTGTCTGATCCTATTATTCCACTGTTTAAGATCCCTGAAGGCTCCCCATTCCCTTTACAATAAAATCCAAGCTCTCTGGCTTGGCACACAAAGCGTTTCCTAACCTGTCCTCTGACCTCTCTCTGACCACATCTGCAATCCTACAAGCACAAGAGCAAAGCTGGGACAAGACACACGGGCAGCTGAGCATGCTAATAATTGGGTGCCCTTTCAATATGATAGTATTTTCAAAACTAATTTTTACTTATCCGAGCAATATATGTACATAGCTTAAAAGGTCAAGTAGTGCCAAAAGGCTTATGACAAAAAAGCAGCAGTATTTTAATGCTGCTCTGCCCCACCCCCCACTGCCCTATTATCCAGAAACAATCACTTTCAGCCTCTTTAGCTGTTTCTAATTGCCTCAGAGTTTCTGGGTTTGCCATTCTCTCTCTAGTCATCAAGTTAGATATTATCTATTGATTTCCTTTCATTGTAGGTGAGGCTATTAGTGCTCTTCCTCTTCCTCTGCCCCTTCCCCCATTCTCCCAACATAGTTGTATCATGTGTTTTGGTCAAATCTGTATTCAGTATTAATTAACGTGACTGTAAACACTGTTTGCTGATGAATCAAGATGGGTATTATGAGTACATTTACTTTCTTGCATATCTTTTAGTTTCTTTTGAATTTGATTATTGCTTGTTGGCTGGCATGATCACTCACACGCCTGTAATCCTAGCACTCTGGGAGGCAGAGGTAGGAGGGTTGCTTGAGCTCAGGAGTTCCAGACCAGCCTGAGCAAGGGTGATACCCCATCTCTTTTTTAAAAATTAAATCAAATCTAAATAAAATAATTGACTGTGTTTTTTTCATTTGCCTTAGATTGTGTTGAACCAATTGTAAGTGTTCTCATACTCACCAGCAGCTCTGTAAAACGCTTTTCAATAAAAATTTTCAGAAGAGCAACCTCTTAGATCAAATAGTAGTTCCATTGTGTTCCTAGTGGTGCATCCTTCCTGGAGCCCTCCGTCCCATTTAATTCACATGGGTTGCTTTCCGAGTCTGCCACCAGCCCAGTCTTACCTGTTGGTTTTCGAGGACTTTCTTTGGCCATCATCCTGGAGAGCCCTTTTCTGTGAATCCACTGTGTTCTTTCTTGGTTTATTTCTTCATTGGGTGGAACATATCATCCAATCATTTCCTGAGAAAGGGTTGTGAAAAGAACATCTTTTTGTGATGTTGTATGCATACAAACTTGTATATACTATCCTCACCCATAACCAAAGATTGGTTTTGGTGGGTAGGTATAGAATTCTAGGTTGAAAATCACTTTTACTCAGACTTTTAATGGCATTATTCAATTAGCTTCTAGCTCTCAATGTTATCATCCATTATTTTTCTTTTCCCCAGTCCTTTGAAATGATTATTTTTTCCTCTCTGAAAGCTTTTTCTTCCCCTCTCTGAATTTTTGTTGTTGTTGTTGTTGTTCTGGTTTCTAACTACCTTATTGGGGGATTTCATCACACTTCCAGTGATTTTTGTCTATCTATTATTTATAACTTAAAACGAGGTACTTAAAATGAGGTACTTAAAAGCTGTTTGGAAGCCATTGATCTGTGGGTGGCCCTGTCATCTGGTGGCCTTCACTGTAATAAAAGCAGATGGCCAGCCAACTTTTTCTTTTGGTATCCTAAATTTTAGCGTAGGAAGGTCTCTTCTCTGATCGTGGTCCGTGATCCATTTCTCCAGAGAAGGATCACCAGTCTCCTACAGGAGGAGGGGAGGGGAGGAGTGGAGGGAGTGCCTTGAACCTGCCTGGGAAGGACACTGAGTTCTCGCTGCCCCCTTTCAGATTCTAGCAGCTCACTGCCGGCTCTCCTCTGTACAGTATCTGATTTCCCAAGACTTTCCAGCTCAGATTCTCCAGAGACTCTCATCTTCCTGCCTTTGTAGAGTAGCTGGGCACTTGGAGAACTAGCTGCTTCTTACACATTCTTAAATAATGCCCATTTTCGCTCCTTTGGCCTCTGCCTTCCAGGTACCTGGCGCACCAATTCCTGAGCCTTCTTGCTGTTCAGTGGAGTGAATCTGCTCCTTCAGACTGACATGGCCCTGGGCAGGTGCTTTAGTGTGACCTTCCTCCTTTTTGGTTCAGAGTCACGTTGTCCCCTAGTTGTACTAAAGATAAACTCCATGTTTCTGATTCTTGTTTTTCTTGGTATAGGGTACTTTTTGAGGAAGATGGGGGACAGAACTATCTTTACTCTGCCACCTTAACACTGAATGTCTTCCAAAGTGATATTCTTTATTATTTGTTCAAGAAGTTTTTAGAGGAGAGGCTGGGTGCTGTGTGGGGATAGGGAGGACACAAAGGAAGAGAAGCTGAGCTCTGCCCCTGTTAGGAAGTGTTTGAACTAGCTTAGGCCAAAGGGAATGTATGGGTTTACATAACCAAACCCCTGAAAGGACAGGACTCATCAAATGCCCAAACTAGGCACTGGATTTTTTCAGGATGCCCTCTAGAATTGGTTCCATTCTTTAAGTGGTGGGGAATGACTTGGGCTGACACCTTTGCATTAGTACATCAGAGAGGAAAGAGTTGTTTTCACCCAGCTATTGGAAAGAAAACCTAGGGAAGTTTTTTGACTGTCCCCGCAGCTTGCATCATAGATTCACCTCACTGTGGCCTGGGAAACTCCATTTGGACCACAAGAGTGAAGGAGAAAAGTGGCAAGTCCCTAAAAGAAGGGGAAACAGCATGAGTGTTACCTGGGGGCATCATTAGTGTCCTGCTTATTCACTGTATTATTGACTGACAGAGCAGCACTACCCCTAAGTGGACTTCTCCTTGGATGAGATGGCTTGAAAACATAAGGTTCATTTATGACTTCACTTCCAAACATCTACAAATACTTACTGTATTCCACTGGGTACTATTAATAAAAAGATAAATAAGATCCAGTCCCTGACCTCAAGGAGCTCACAGTCTAATTGTCAAGAGAGCCATGTAAACAAACAATTTCAGTACAGTGTTGTGAGTGCAGCATTCTAGATGCTTAGAAGACAGAGAAAGAAAAGAAGCTATAATTTCCTCCACAGAGGCAATGTTTTGGAGTAGTGATACAGCTGGGTTTCGAAAAATATGAGTTTACCAACCAAATAGGAAGGGAGAAGACATTCCAAGCAGAGAGGGAAAAAAATACCTGTGCAAAGGCTCATTTATTCATTTGTTTGAAAATAATTTATTGAGGACTACTAGATACCTTGCACTAGATAGGCATTGGGGATACAATATGAACAAATAAAGTCTCTGTTCTTGAAGTTTGCAGTATGATGAGATCAGACAACCAAATTATCAAACAAACATCTAATTACAAACTGTGATGATTGCTATGGAAGGAAAGTAATAAGAGTGACAGGGGGCATGGGGGGAGGGGGTCACAATGTGGCATATTCAGGGAACCAGAAACAGTTCCATGTGGCTGGATAGGAGCAAAAGGTCCAGCTGTCTCGGACAAGGTAACAAGTCCATGGCTCCATTTTACCCTTGGCCATACTTGTAAGTAGTTCTTCAACCCCTGGACAGAGAATTATAAATTCTAGAGTTCTTTCCTTCTTTCAGCAAGTTTAGCTTATCTGAGAATTTCAAATTCCCTTTTGAAAATTATAGAGATTCTACTCAAACTTAATCTGTCATATTGCTGCTCATTGCCTCTCTCAACATGTTCAAGTCCATCTGGAGTTTCTCACAATCCTTCAGTGTTTTTTTTTTTTTTTTTTTAACTTCTCCAAACAATTTAGTGTCATCAGCCACCTTCTCCAACTTAAGAGTTCACCTCTTCTTGCTGAATGCATTAAGCATAGCAACATTTGGAGACATTTTTAAAAGTTGATTTTGGATGTACCTTCTCTTCTACTATATAAAAAAAGGGGCTAGTATTTGTGATTCCCAAATAGCAAACCAAGGCTGCCAAGATTTGTCCTTGTGTGTGATATTATCAAGTTGTGGTGAGTCACTGGTCTGTCCCACAAAGTGCTGGCTTGCTGGTTATGCCAGGTTGGATTCTTCTGATTCACACACTTTAACATCTGTAGGGTCCAGATTTACATTTTCAGAAAATGTCCACCTAGAGAAGCCTATTAAATGCTTCACCTAGAAATGCTGCCCTGGGGCACCCCAGACCAGCTACCAAGGACCCTCAGCACAATGGCCAAGTAGGTATGGTTTGTCTTTGATGCCTTTTCATAGCCCCCATCTTTGTCTCTCCCCATGTCACTTCTCCTCAATTACAGCTTTTATGCTCTCAGCTCTAGTGGGAAACTCCTTTGGGGGCATGAGGGAGGCATTGAGAGAGATGAAGAGAACTGTCTTTGAATGACTCGGACAGTAAATAATTCTGTCTGGGAACACATGGATGTCTATGCATCTGCACCCAAACTGTTCTTACACATCTTGAAAGAGGCCGTTGGAAGGAGAAATGAGTCTGTGGGAACAAGATAAGGTAGGGAAGAGGTTCAGAAAGGATGCCCTCCAAAGAGAGCCCTGCTCTCGGGAGAAGAGGAGCCATCTACATTTCTGGGTACCACATAAGGCTAAAGCTGGTAAACTACCATGTAAGGTTTTTGGGGTCTTTGTATTTCCCCAGGTTATTTTTGTTGTTCCCTTCTGTTTCCCCATGGTAATTAGCCCCCAAACAAAGCCCTTAAAATTGAAAGGGGCTATGTGCTTATTTTGGTGCACAGCAAGAAGTGGGTATATTCTATGCCACTTCCACTCCTAGAGAAAAATGAAAACCAATAATCTCTCAAGCAGTACAACCTTCTTTACCTCCAAGTGCTCCATGTTTTAACATGACCTTCCTTCCTTACCCTTAACCCAAACTCCCATTTTGGCAAAATAGGAAGAGAGAGTGCCTGGACCTCCATAGCAAAACCAAGGAAGGCTTCACAGAAGAGCAAGATACACATGAGCATTGCAATTTGGCAACATCATTAACAAACTATTTGCATGATGTATACACACTGTGGAGCCCAGGCCAGCCACCATGGGATCTCCAGGGCAAGCATCATTTTCCAAAAGGAATAGCTACTTTCTATTTAGTTTTAGAAGAAGAAGGTAGGGCAGAGCCATTCCCAAGAGAAATATCCAGTGGAAGAATGTTTTAGAGTCACTAAATCCACTTCAGAGCCCATGATTTCCTTGCATTTTCTCCTGAGTGTGATTATATTAACCAGACACAAATGGCAAACACTTCACATTAATGCGTGCAATTTGTGTTCCTTTTTACCTTGCCAAAGCAAGTGTCTGCATATTTTCTCTTCATCCTGTCAATTATTCAGCATCAGTGAAAAGTACCCTTGCAACACTTTTTATCAAAACCAGATTTCCTATGTCACTTTTATACATAATAGGAAAGGAAGGCCCTGAATCATCCCATCAGAAGCAGGAGATCCCTTTCTTCAACCCTATCACTCCATCTCTAGCTTTAAGCATTCTCGTATCCTAACCACACATTTATCTTCTAGTCTTTTAGGATTCTGCCATATACATCCTCAAGGGACGCTTGAATAGCACTTTGGCTGCACTCCATTTCCTGCTGCAGCTTCCCTGCCCTATGTTTCTTGGGTTTGGGGCCAGTGTCTGGAAGGAATTATGAGGCTATGGCCTGCTTGAGGATGAAGCCATACAGAGTTATGGTTATGAGAGTGTCCTCTGCCTATATTAGAATCTTTGTTTCTTTCACTTAACAGTAGTGTTACTTCGAACAAATATCTAGATTCCCAAAGCCTGTAAAATAAGGATCACAGACCCTTAGCATGACCAGGCTGACAGTAATACAAACCTGACTTCTGCTAATATAACAAATATTAAGAATATAATAATCCCAAATTGGGCACCTCACTAAGCAAAGATAAATGGCAGCCCTAATCCTCAGTGGGCATTTCACCTGAGTGTGCAGACACCACTTCCAGCCAGTCCAGCATTTACATAACACCTAATAGGTAAAGCCAGATATTGCCAGCCAATAAGAGAGACTCCAAGACTTTATTCTCTTAATATGGAAAAGAGCTGGCTTTTGGGTTTTGGCTTTAAAAGATGTAGTAGCCAACCTTAAGGTGGCCCCCCAATGATGCCCACCCTCTAAGTATTCATGCCTTAGATAGCTCTCTCCTATCAGAGTTGGTCTATGTGATGGATAGAATATGGCAGAAGCAATGGAGTATCACTTCCAAGGCTAAGTTTTGAGACATTGTGCCTTCTGCCTTGCTCTCTCTTAGACTTCTCTTTCTGGAGGATGCCAACTTCCATGGCTTTAGGCCTTGAGAAGAGACCCATGAGGCAAGAAACCGAGGTCTTCTGCCAACATTCAGCAAGGAACTCAGATCTTCTTAATGAGTGGGGTTGTGTACCACTCTTACCAAGAGCCATGAGTGTCAGCCATCTTGGAAGCCAATCCTTCATCCCAACCAAGCCTTCAGATGGCTGCAGCCATGGCCAACATCTTGACTGCAACTTCATAAGAGACCCAGAGTCAGAAACATCTAGCTAAGCTTCTCCCAGATCATCTAGCTTCTCCCAGAAACATCTAGCTAAGCCTTCTCCCAGTGGGCACTATTATATTCCTAGTGCCTACATTAGAGCCTGGCACATAGTAGGTGCTTGATAATATTTGTTACATGAATGAATGAATGCATATGTGACTCAACATAGCTTAAGAAGTAGGGGTAAATCTAGAAAGATCTATTACTTAAGTATACACACTGATTTATTTTAATTTATACAGTTATGATTCATACTTTTTTTAGGGACCATCTCCCATATAACTCTGTAGTCAATGTGCATTATGCATTCCACTTGGAGACTTGGTCAGGTTTCAAGTTCTTCCTATCCCAAAACTTTGAGCTCCACGCACTAGTTAGACAAATTAGAAAGAGTGTTCTAGCTCTATAGGCTGTAGAAATAGAAAGGAGAAACAAGCTGGCTGTTAAAAATGTTATATGAGGAAATTATAGCTTCAATTCACAGGTCAGCAGAAACATGTTAACATAGAATTCATTGTCCTTCAAGGATCGTAAGCAACTATATTTTTAAGGGGTAGAAATACTCAACTGGCTGTCTAACATATGGTCCCTCAAATGATTTTAGAGAAACTGCTTTGATAAGACCAACTGTTTCTCAGCCTAAGACTCTAAAAGATCAATACATTTCTGTTATTTTACTTGTATGAATAAAAAGGAAACCTAAGAAATTTCAATGATTTCTCTGCTATTCCTGGTGTGGAAAAGAAAAGTGAACTCTACTTGTTGGACTATAATTCCTTAGTCTTTACCTTTAGGACTTTGCATCGTGTCAAAAATCTCTTGCTCAGTAAGCAAATCTCTTTACACAAGGAGATACTACAGCATAAAGTTCAGGTCAGAGTCCAGGTTGGACAGATGCTGTATTTACCCATCGGTTGTCCACGGCTGACTTAGGTTTAGCTTCGTCAGTGCTTGACTTGGGAACGGTACTGTCATCTGGAGCCATTCTGTGCCGAATGACAGCCATCTGCTTTCCATGTGCCCTTTCTATTTGGACAAATAAAAATAATAACCCCATATGAAAACCCTTTAATTCACAATCCTTCAAAGACAGCCCCACCTTGGACTAGTAACACCTCTGACAGCAATTCTTGGATATCAAGAATGGATCACCCAGAGCAAACCTTGGAAGTATTTGGGAATGTTTGTGCATTTCTAACAGGAAAAATGCTCCAGATTCTTTTTTTGGAAACTTCTATCTTCCCATCTGTCTGTAATTGGATTACTCAGATCATGCACAAAGAGTGAGTGAGCAACTATTTACATGAACCCAGGCCGAAAGCATTAGATTTTGACCATATTGATACTAGTTTAAAATGATGTATGATTTGTTATAATCCTGTTATTATTCCTATTCATAACATGTTTCCTTATCTTCACATATAATCCACTATTTAAGTATTAGGGATTTGGGAGTGGTAAATAAAAGAAATGAATTAAATTCATTCATTCAGCAAGTAGTATTGTGCCTATTATATGTTGGCCTGGTACCAGCAGAGGGATACAGGGGTGATTTTATATTTATTGAGGGCAATCCCTGTGAGTTTTCCACTTTCTTCCTCATTCAGAAAGTACCTGCATCTACGAACCTATCAAGTAATTGATTTCTAACATTCTATGCAGCACTGTACCAATTTGCATTATAATTTCTTTAAGGCCAGAGTTTTACAATGCTTATATCATACTATGTGCATTATAAAGTTTGGGCAATTATCCTGGGGCAAATAATTCCCCCCCCTTTTATTTTTATCAGGCAACACCTCATTCTATTTTATTCACCTTTTAAGTTCTCCCTTCTGTCAAAGATTATTTTGTCAAAACAAATATAACCAGAAAATACATATTTTGAGAATCAATGTTACTGTTGTCACAGTGCTATAAAATTTGCCACTTCAACACTATTGAGGAAATAAATAACAATGGTTGAGAAGCAGCCAGTTTCCTGGGCCTCTACAGTACCATTACTGCTTAAACAAAAAAAGCAGATGGTGAGAAAGTTCCAACATCAAAAAGGAGAATCACAAAGGCAAAGGTTTACAGCTTTGATCCTGCCCTGCCTTTGAGAAATCTCTCTAGAGAGCAAAGGGCATGAGGGTGGCTACTGCTTTAAAATAAGCTTCTCTAGAACCATTATGAATGCAGGGAAGAGAAATAGATTTTAGTATACACACATACCCATACACCCACATATATATACACATACATATACATATGTGTACATACATATATGTATCTATATTATATAAAATAGCATATCTGAGGGAAAGTAATGGGGAAGTGTGGGGGAAGCAAAGGGAAACTGTGAATCTCCTCCCACCTCAGGACTTTGAAAGTTTCTACTTGGCTTTTTGAAGTAAGCACCTCACTGAAGGGGCAAGTAGTCAGAAAGAATTCACACCTGATGAGCCTTCTTTTTTTTTTATCTTTTAGTTTGTCCACCATTAAGCAGCAGAACAGGACAGAAACTCTTTTCAGACAAAGGGTGGGTTAGGCTGGTCGTGGTGGCTCATACTGGTAATCCCAGCACTTTGGAAGGCCAGAAATTTGAGACCAGCCTGATAACATAGCTAGAGCTACCTGCCTAGGTCCCTGCAGTCCCAGCTGCTAGTGAGACTGAGGTGGGAGGATTGCTTGAGCTCAGGTGTTTGAGGTTGCAGTGAGCTATAATCATGAAACTGCACTCCAGCCTAGGCAACAGAGAGAGACCCTGTCTCTAAAAAATTTAAGGCTCATAATTTGGGAAAGAAAACAAAGGTATCTTGGGTTTTTTACTTATTCCAACTGCTAAAGTGGAAGTGTCATGAATGTACAGACTGGCTTGCAGCCTTAACCCCACAGCTTTGAGTTGGTCCTCAATAACTATTTGTTGGTTGAATAAATGGATGAAGAATTAATCAATGAGATCAATGAGTATGGAGTGTTTTCTACATGTGGTAGAGAATATAGGAAAGTATAAGGCATAATTGTTGCCCATAGGAAACTTTGTAACCAGATAGGAACGCAAAGTGAACAATCATAAAGGAATTGGGAAACAATATACAATCCTGGCAATTATGAAATTTGGGTTATGAGTAGTTCTATCTGTAACGTTTCTGAGGTGCTTGGAGAGCAGAGAGATGATGCGGAGGGTCTTAAAGAACTGATAGGATTTAAATAACCCCACCTACTTACTAACCCTACTTCTACATGTGGCACATCCTCAGAACCTCTGGGGCTAGTTCTAATAATTAAAATGTTTTTAATTTGCTAAATTCATTTATTAGATCTACCTGTAAGAGCAGCGTTGTTTTCTTTAGGGGTAGAAAAAGGAAGACAGAGAAAGATTTTACAATATAGGTATGGTGACCATATATGTAGAGCAGCAACTCCAGTCACACAATAGGACATCATATTTGAAACTGAAACTCCATAGAAAAATCTGTGCTCGATAAATACCTGCAGTCCAGTGTAGTGGCTCACACCTGTAATTGCAGGCCAAGGCAGGAAGACTGCTTGAGCCCTGGAGTTGGAGGTTACAGTGAGCTATGATTGTACCACTGCACCCCAGCCTGGGTGACAGAGCGAGTTCATAAATAAATACATATATTAATATATTAATACATACACACTTGAAAATTATCGGATACAGATCCCATGGCTCTTGACTCACTTGTCACAAGTAATGAGTTATTGTGATATAAAGTGGACCCCAGTTCCTCGCTTTAATGAGTACTTTAGGAAAGTTAGCCTTTCACAGAACGCTTTGCTGAAGACTTAAAGATGGATTGGGGTTGCAAATTAATCTCTGGGTAGCCCTTAGCAGCTTAAAGTCAAAAGATCAATGGATGGAATGCATGAAAGCTGTTTTGTTTGTCTAATCTGAATGGAGTGAGGATGTAGACCTCACCAGACAGTGAGGGGTTCTCTAGCTTCTCAGGAAGAATTTGTGGTACCACCATATAGTGCTGCTATACCTATACTCTCCCAGGAGTTTCACACATTATTTTTTGCAGAAATATGCTTGAATGGCAAAACTTTTTTTTTCTTCTTTGCTGGCCTCTTGCTTGCTTTCTTCCTATACTGTTCTTAAGTCAGGCTTCAGATAAAGTGAGTGTTTGTTATCTTAAGAACAGGCTTTGCTGAATTTAATGGAGAAATAGGGTCACACAAAGACTTTTGGAAGACACTGAAAAGTGTCCTGAAATAAAAGCAATGTACAGCATGAGTCTCTTCTAAAATCCTTTGTGTTTTATACTGCTCTTAAAAAAAAAAAAAAAAGACAAATATTTTGATTGAAAAACAAAACAGCAAGGCTGAGCAACATAGCAAGTCTTCATCTCTACAAAAAAGTTTAAAAATGCATGCCTATAGTCCTAGCTACTTAGGAGACTGAGCCAGGAAGATTGCTTGAGCCTAGGAGTTTGAGGTTGCAGTGAGCTATAATGATGCCACTGCAGTCTAGCCCAGGCAATAGACTGAAACCCTGTCTCGTAAAAAAAAAAAAAAAAGAAAGAAAAGAAAAGAAAAAGAAGAAAAGAATAAAGAAAGAAAACAGAAAAAGATATGTAACAAATGCACAATATAACCTAATGAGTCATTATATAAGGCAAACACCTTTGTAACCACTATCAGGGCTAACATGCAGAACTCTGCCAACCCAATCCCCACCCAGAAACTTCTCAACATGCTTATTCCAATGGCAACCTGCTTTCTCCCCAAAAGTAACCACTATTCTGAGTATTAAAGCAAGTCTTGCTTTCTTTATAGTATAATCACCCAAGTGTAATAAAATTCCTAGACTGTTGTTTTGTCTTATCTATTAAAAATTTTCTTTTATGAAGTGACCTTGCATAAATCAAAAAAAAAAATTTTCTTTTAAATCTCTTTTTTTTTTTTAGACAGTCCCACTCTATTTTCTGGGCTAGAGTGTTGTGGCGTCAGCCTAGCTCATAGCAATCTCAAACTCCTGGGCTAAAGCAATCCTTCTGCCTTAGCCTCCCAAGTAGCTGGGACTACAGGCATGCACCATCATACCCATCTAATTTTTTAAAATATATTTTTAGTTGTCCAATTAATTTCTTTCTATTTTTAGTAGAGACAGAGTTTTGCTCTTGCTCAGGCTGGTTTCGAACTCCTGACCTTGAGCGATCCTCCTTGCCTTGGCTTCCAAGAGTGCTAGGATTACAGGCGTGAGCCACCGTGCCCAGCCTCTTTTAAATCTCTTAAGTTCATTTTCCACTTAGGATGCTCAAGAACTACAACATTGGTCACTATTTCCAGGCCTCTTCCCCTGACAGTGGACATCAAAGTTAAAAAAGAAAAACTTAAAAAACAAAAAACCAAAACTTTATTGTAAAAGAACACATAGATATGGAAAAGCACACATTTTAAACAAATTCCTTTTAGTTAGTAGTGATATTTCCAATTCAAATTCAGCGCTACAGGTTTTTTTATTTACTCTTTCCTGTATTCAGTGTTTCACACCAGAAAATCCTGGTACTCAAGGGCAGAGATCAAAATGGAATTAGAATACCCAATAATTGCTGTACTTTACTCTGTATTACTTACATCACAGTCTCAGAAAAATCCAAATGCAGCTACTGAAAACAGCTAAATTTTTTTCACATATTTTCTCCCCCAGTTTTAATAGTTGTACTGTATCAACATTGTCAGATGCCATTATATACTACATATTACTCTCCCTTCTAATCCTTATTTAGCCTCAGTCCTACAAGTAATTATTTGTTTAATGCTCACAAGCAGTCCTTATGTTAATGTCTCTGCTCATTTTGGTTGTTAAAAGCTCATTCTGTAGTAGATTCTTTGAGGAAAGAAAATGAGAGCAACATTCCCTGTGTTTTTGCATGTTGATAAATGTTTGTGCTTTCTATACTTGAAGGTCAGCTTTGCTGAATATAAAATTCTTGGCTCACATTTGAGTGTCTTAAATATGTTACTCCATTTTTCTCTGGCATGAAGTATTGTTGACAAATTTGATGGTCTGTGTTTGTTTCATAAAATCACATGTTCCTTTTGCCTAAATGCCTAAGGAATTTTTTTCTTTATCTTTAAAGTCCAACAATTTTATTAAATTATGTCTTGGTATTGGTTGTTCTAGATGGATATTCTCAGATACATGGTGTGCTCTTTCAATGTGTAATTTAAATTTTTTTATTTCAGGAAATTTTTCTTGAATTATGGTATTTAAGCTTTTGTTCTCTTACTTTGATTTCTTTTGGAAATCAAAGGACTTTCTATTATCTATATGTTGGACCTTCTTTGCCTCCAATATTTCACTTTCTGTCAAACTGTCTCTGTCTCTTAACTTTTTTACTTCAAAAATTTTTATTCTTTTCATTCTACAGTTCTTTTATGATATCTTTGTGTTTATTCTCTTGTGTTCTTTTCTAGTTAAGACTTTATTTCTGAAATGATTTTTTCTTTTTAGTTCTCAGGTCTATCACCTAATTTCTAAGTTTTAAATCTGATTTATAGGTTTTTCCATGTCTTATAATTTGAATATCTTTTATCCTATGTTGAAATTAAAGGTTACAATTGACTTGTTTTGTGGACATGTTTCCAATGTTCTCCCATTGGCTAAAGTGATGTCATTCTGCTTTTTATTTTTGCATAGTAGCTGATTTGTTGCTCATTCATATGTGAAAAGAGTTTATCTGAACTTTCAGAAGGATGCATGGTTGAGGGTAGCTCTGCTAACATCAGAGAGCTCTCTCTTCTGTTATATTCATAAAGTATTAAAAATTTTTAGCCGGGCATGGTGGCGCATGCCTGTAGTCCCAGCTACCCGGGAGGCTGAGGCAGAAGGATCACTCGAGCCCAGGAGAGAAATTAATTGGCCAACTGATATATATGTATTAAAAATTTTTAGCCGGGCATGGTGGCGCATGCCTGTAGTCCCAGCTACTCGGGAGGCTGAGGCAGAAGGATCACTCGAGCCCAGGAGTTTGAGGTTGCTGTGAGCTAGGCTGACGCCACGGCACTCACTCTAGCCTGGGCAACAAAGCGAGACTCTGTCTCAAAAAAAAAAAAAAAAAATTTAACTGCTCGCCTTCTGAGATTCTGTGGCCATGGATCTTATTTCCTTTGTCTCTGTTGTCTTTATCCAAATCAATTTTGATTCCATTGCCAGAAGTCTGAGTCAGGCTCTATTCTGGAAGGGAGCCCTGGCTCATCAGTTTTATAAGTTCATTGGGATCAAACTGTTCTAGTCCCTCCATCCTCACTGTGGGCCTCTTGCACTTATCTGCTATTGTAGTGGGAGAAAATGCCTCCCAATGTCAGCTGCTATTCTCAAATTGGTCTGTTGTACTTTCCACTTACTAAATAATTGTTGGCTACTTTTTCTACTCTGTTCTCAGGTTCATAAGGGCCCTGTTGCTTTCCTCGGCTTCCCCCTCCACCACCACCACACACATACATACACATACACACACACACAACACACACACACACACACACACACACACAACGGAGGTTCTTGTGGATATTGATGATTTGCCAATTGCATCATTTGCTTGGATAGTAGTCTCCCTATCCAAGGGGGGTATGTTCCAAACCCCCAGTGGATCCCTGAAACTGGATAGTACCAAACCCTATATATACACTATATTTTTTCCTATATATATATACTATTAGTTTAATTTATGAATTAGGTACAATAAGAGAATAATATAGAATAATCATAACAATGTACTATAATAGAAGTTATGTGAATGTGGTCTCTTTCTCTCAAAATATTATTGTACAAACCATAGATAAGGGGGGAACTGCTGGTATTTCAGGTTTCTGGGGATACTTTATCACTGGATTTTATTGTAAATATTTTTGGTTTTGCTATCTAATGGCTCTATTTGTTATGTGGGGATTTGGGGATATTAAAAAACTATGTTACTGCTGCCAAGGCCCCAGAATCTTCTCATCCTAATACATTTTTTAGATGTATATATAAAGCACAACAGAATTGTCCTGCACACAGCCCAAAAGAAGATGCCCTCCTGACACAGCAAGTTGTATCATAGATCTTAGAACTAGACAAAGCCTCAAGAGATCATCTGGTTCAGCTCCCTGTGATTAGGCAGGAAAAGCACCATCCTAAAATCAAAATAGGTAACAGGAGCCCTCAGAAATAAAGTAGGAAATAAATACCTATTATTGTTTAGCAATATAAATAGTTCTAAATTTTGATGTTTTCTTTTAGTGTTCATACAATTAAAAATCTAAGTGTATAAATATACTACACAATATTAATCATTCAAATTAAAATAAACAAACAATTCAAAAGTACAAACATCAAGTTTATGTTACATTTGGGTATGGATGAATGTTAAAATTTCTGTATTAGTTATAGTCATGAATTGGAAATATTAATTTAAAATGCCTGCCTTTTAAAACAAATCTGAAAATCAGCTAAATGCAACATCCAATTTAATTAGTTTGTGAATAGCTTTATGAGTGAGCCAAAATACCTTAATGCAAATTCTTATAAGTTAGCTAGAGAATAAAATCTCTGCTGGTGGTAAAATATTGAACTAACAAATGATAGGATTCTTTTTAAAGAAAGACAGCTCTCCATAATAACAAAAAGAAATAATGATAACACAAGATGAAAATAACCTAAAAGTAAACAGAACATGTCACTAATAGAATTCTTCATTATCTAGCGTAGCCTGTAATGGAGAAAACGCAAGTGTAATTCTGTTATCTTACCATAGGCAGTAGGCACACACTGTAAAATCCATCTCTTCATTTTCTGGTTGAAAAGATCATTGTAGAAAAAGCCTGCCAGGGAGTAGAGGTCATGCTGATTTATTGGCAATTAAACCTGCAGGATTTCTGCACTCCCTTCAAAACAAAGTATCTGAGGCTATTCAGCCAAGATGATTACATAGTGGGCTATCTACTAAAACCCAGGAGTCTTTCTGTTAGTGCACAACAGATACAATTGACTTGGCTGTATTTAGAAAATTACTGCTATTTTCTGTGCAGATTTTCGTTGTATCTTCCTCAAATATCCTCAGCCCAAAGAATTACCTTGTTAGTGAATTTAATAAAGCAGAATCTTACCAAGTGATATATAATTTGGCTTGGAAGTATAAGAACTCTAGTAAAAATACTAACATGGACTCACTTAAAGCAAATGAATGTATTACTTAATCTATATGATCTGTCTATGGGTGCTTCAGCCCTTTATTTCAGAAATGTTGGCTAGTTTGGGGTGATGTTTTTGGAGTTTGATACTCAAAATTAAGTATCCATTTCATGTTTAGAAACAACTCAAGTTACTTAGGTTAGCTATTTAAACCATGGATGCCACTTACATATAAACATTTCCACTTGTCCTAAAGATGGTGACAGGCAAGTGCAGGAGCTGGAAATGTTGGAATCTCAGCAAAAGAGGTAGGTAGGAAAGAGAAAGAAGGTAGGAATAGGGAGAAAGAGGGTGGAGAAAAATCAAGTCAGCATTTCTGCCACAGCTCAACCCTGCCTGCTAGTATGAATCTGACTCTACCTGAGTTAGTTATTTTTAGAAACAGGAATATGGCCATTGTGTGTTGTACACTGTACCTTACGTAGGACCACCTGCCTCAGGCACTAACCTGCCTCCACCATTCCTAGTTTTTTCTTCCTCCCTGCTGGCCTATGTGGCTAAGGTCTCATTTACTCATCCCATCCATCCATTTAATAAATATTTATTGAGACTTTAATATGTGCCAATTACCATTCTAGACCCTTGCAATATACCATGTCTGTGTAATGTACTTTTTTTTTATTTAGGAAAAAATTTAATAAAGTACAAGTCTTTCACACTGAAATGTAAAAAGTCAATAGTGAAATAATCAAAGAAATGAAAAATGAAATAGATCAAATGTTCAAGGGCAATAATTTGTTAAGATCATAATTCTCCACAAATCGATCCACAAATTCAATTCAATCCCTTCAAATTCCCAACTGTCTTTTTTATAGAAATTGACAAGCTCAACTTATATTTTACATGTAAATTGAAGTGAAATTGAATATGCAACACACAATGTTATAAAAAATAATACTGGATGACAAACAGTTCCCTGTGTCAAATTTTACTACAAAGTTACAGTGATTGAGTCTGTGTGGTGCTAGCATAAGATAGATCTATGTTGATCAAGAAAATAGATTTGCATGTCCAGTAATAAGTATCTTAATTTACAATAAATTGATTTTGACAAAGGGTCCATGAAAATTCAATGCAAAACACACTGTTTTCAACAAATGGTGACAGAAAAATTTGATATCTACATGAAAAAGGGTGAAGTGGTATTCCTAACTCAAATTATTATCAGATAGTACTCTAAATGCATTAGATACCTAAATTGAAAACTAAAACTATAAAGTTTAGGGAAACATTGGAATATTTCTTTGTGATCTTGAGTTAGGTAATGATTTCTCAGACTACATTAAAGTATAATTAAGAAAAAAATATGAATTATACTTCATCAAGTTTAATTCTTTTGCTTCAAACACCAAGAAGAAAATAAAAAGGAAAAAAAATCACTTAATAGGAGAAAACATTTCAAATTATATATTGAATTAGGATCTAATATCACAGTGTATCTTTTTACTTGTAAATTTTTAAATAAAAATTATATATTTATTTTGGAAAATATGGAATATAAGAAAAAAATTTCAATCTATATATAACAAGACATTAAATATTTGTTGGGATTATATCTTTTCACCTCTAATTTTTAGGTTAAAATATTTCAGGCATAAAAATATTAAAGATTAATAAAACACTGTGTGTCCATTATAAAGTTTAAAAATAAAATATTATACAAACTGCTGAAGGCCCCTACCCAGTTGTATTCAATGGCCTCACTGTTGGGAGATACCACTATGGTGAAAGTTATTTTGGTTTTTTACCACATGTTACATAGTATATTTTTACTATGTATATGTGATATATAGAACTGTTTTACATGTTTTTAAAATTTTATATGACTATCATTCTGAATATATTTTTCTGCAATATGCTTTTGTTCCTCATCATTTGTGAGATTTATTCATGTTGATGTACATATCTTCACTTCATTGATTTTAACTGTTGTATCATAGACATTCCAGGCACAATACATTTATTCTTTCTCTTATTGGCATGTAAGTTGTTTGCAATATCTTGCTGTTAAAAACATGGCAATGACCATTCTATTCCTGTCCCCTTGAACAGGAGGGGGAATTTCTCTAGGTTATATACTTAGAAATAAAATTGTCAAGACAAAGGGTACAAATTACCTAGATATTACCAAATGGCTCTTTGAAGTGGTTGTATTAACTTATACTCTTGCCAGTAACGTTAGTGTAATGTATTCTTTACATTTCAAGAAATATGTACACATCCACACTCATACACATGCTATATGTATATGGTGTGGATATCATGTGTATGTGTCAGGGCTCAGAAGACCCAAAGCTGGATGTTCCTACCAGGATCTCTTTTCTTCTTTGTCCTGACGTACTTCCTCTCACCTTCCTATCCTTCAAGGTCCAGCTCACGTACCTCAGGAGACCTTGCTTATCATAGATTCTATATATTTCTCCTTTCCCTGACTTCCCAAGGCTGCCCCTGACAAATGCTCATGAGGAGGCATATTTAGTGTTTCAGGGCCCATGCTGTGGCTTTACATCGTATAGTCATAGAGTCATTAAAGGCAGGAACCATTTTGAGTTATCTATCAGCATCTCCTAGAATCCAGCGTCACATTCACGATGAACTCATCATGTTCTTGATGAGGTTGGCAAATTGTCGATGGACTGAAGACAGATCCCTTTTCCTCCCACAGAGAGGTCAGGTCATTCTTGGAGCAACTTCTTAGGAAAAGCTCTCCTCGCCCACATTGGTAATACCTGTATCCAGTTAGGATGCAGATCTACACACCCTTTGTTCCAACAATTTCATTGCCCCGTTATACATCCCAGAGAAACTCCCTCACATGTGCTCCTGCTTTTCTCTCACATTCTCCTCTTAGTAAATTTGCAAGGACAGTGGTGTGCACTTAGGCTAATCTGGAAACCACAAGTGATATGACTATTCTTTGAAAACCACAGCCACATAGGTCAGCAAATACAGGCTCACAGTTCATCTTTGTTCAACTTAGAAGAAATCTATTTTTGAGAGCCTTCAGTCTCTTCAGTTACCCAAGTACATTACATTTCTGGGCTAGAGGCCCTGAGATGTTTGGATTCTCCTGTTTTCTATTTTTAGCTATTGTATCTTCTAGTCTTCTCTAATATCCTGAGCAACATGCTTTTTTTGGCATGTCTACTCCCAAACCTTATTGTGTTTCCCTCAACAGGATATCAAATATTCAGATTTATTTTCTTATCAGCTTTTACTGAATCTACTTTCATTTTGACAGCAGCATGGTGTAGTGAAAAGAAAGCAGGCTTCAAAGTAGATAGAACTGGGTTTGAATGTCTGCTCTGTCACTCTATTGTGTTATGTTAGACAGGTTACTAATGCTCCATTGTCAGGTAGGGAAATCAGTGCCTCTGTCTTATAGTTGTTGAGAGACTTCAATGGGATAACACAGGTTAGGTGTGTTTATCATAGTGTCCTGCACATAGTAGGTGTGTCATAAAGATCGGTATCATTTCTTTCAGTCTCCTTCCTTCCCTTGAACTATCATCAGGTATTTATTTCTTAAGTAGAAAGAGTAGGAAGTCACCTAATAACTGGAAAGCACTGTGTCACAGCCCACTCAAAATAGTCTCTACTCCTACTTACATTCCAGAAATTCTACTACCAATTATTATAATTATCTTGGGCTCTTAGTTGACAGGAACTTAAGTCCCTCTCCACTGTAGGCAAGTTTATTAGGCACTTTGTCCCAGGACAGGGAAATCCAGTGTGAACCTGTCGCCAAAGTGTATTGTGGGGTACTTGGAAGGGGCATTTATTCATCTAACCAAGATCATCTTAACCAGATGGTTAAGATGGTTGGGCTGAGGAACCTGTTGAATATTTGGTATCTCTTAAAGACAGAAATGTTTCTCTCAGATAACTATAGATATATCTTCATACTGGTACATATACAGAAACCAGTGATGTCATTACATCGGAGATATCTGCTTCTATATACAAAGAATGTGCTTTCTACCACAGGCCTTCTAAAATATTTTTGGAATATTTTAGGATAACATTACATAAACAATTATATTTTTATAATAAAAGTCTCGATTATCAGTAGGATTTCTATAAATAAATGCAGTATTAATTTCCTTCCTATGTATATCCACATCACAGTAAATGCTTTTTGAATGGAAAAGCAGCTAGTTCATTCTGAACTACTTACCTAAAAAAGCTATCCGAAAGGCCTCAGCCACACTGAATTACCAAAGTAGAGCTAACCCAGATCACCGCAGGATTTAGGTAACTTGAGACTAAGAAAAAAGGAACACTTCATTAGGAAGTGTGAGAAAAGTCTTAGGGTTGATTTTGTTTAAATGCCAATGTGAATTGATCATTAGCATTTGCGAGAGCTGTGCAAATAACACCACCTAAGGGGCTAAAGCAACATGGAATTGTTTCAGAGCAATTAATTCACTTCCAAGCTTTTTGTATTAACACCATCTTATTTCCCTAGTGTAGATAGACACTTTGCTTAAAAAAAGAAGAAAAAAAAAACAAAAAACACCAAAAACTGATATTCTGCCAACAAGATTACAGGGGTGAAAGAACAACTCCCTAGTCAAATGCAAATTGTAGTCATATTAGCATGTTAATGAGCTAAGTGATAAAC